TATAACTTTGCATAAGTTTCCAGAAAAGTATGCTAACATCTGCAAGTCAAATAAATATAATATCAAGACATATTTCATATATGACTTATTGAAATTTGATATTGTAGATATTGTTTTTTTCCTAATGAACTTGGTTGAAGTTAAATAAGTTTAAATTACGAGAAAACTAAAGTAGCCTATAATTTGTACGGCGGACTATCAAATACTCCCTCCATACTTAAAAAATGAAGTCGTTTTGGACAGCGACACGATCTCCAAAGCATAACTTTGACTACTTATTTTTATAAAGATATTTATCAAAAAGTGATATATGTAAATTTTTGTGAAAGTATTTTTCAAGACAAATCTATACATATGGTTTTCACATTTCCAGACTCAACAACTAAAAAGTTATTCATGATTTATATTCCCAATGTTTGATCCAAGCCTTGTCCAAAACGACTTCACTTTTGAGTTTGGAGGGAGTAGGCTTTTGAGAAGAAAGAAAATGTATAAAAAAGGGACTTGCTAGTGCCCGGACATCCGATTCGGGACGCTAGTGTTGGACGGTACCCGCTCAGCGAGCGAGCGAGCACCCCAGCGCGTCGGGCTTGCGAGCGAGCGCCCTAGCAACAAGTCCGCGTTGCCCTGGATGTTGCCCGCGCCGCTAGCCGTTTCCCATGCGCATCCCATGTGCAACATCCGATCTACTTTTGAAACATCCAAATGCAATAGTTGCAACATATAAAAGAAGATAGATAAAATACTTGAAACATGCATCTGAAACACATGCAAAAATATCTGAAAAAACACTTGAAAACCATTGCAAACATATGCAACATACAGATGAAACACTTGCAACAGACATATGAAACATCTGAAACACTTGAAACATACATTTATATGCAACATCTAGATCTACTTGCAACATACGCCTGATACAGATGAAATATTTATAATATACACTTGAAACATACGTACATAGCCATTGCAACATGCATGTGCAACATCCCGATCTACTTTTGCAACACCGATACGAAACACTTGCAACATACCACTAAAACATCTGAAACACCTGAAACATATGTTTGCAACATGCGCTTTCAACTCAACATCTCCTTGCTGCTTGGGAATGGAGGCTCATCGACGTGTGGAGTTCACTGGTATAGAGCTCGCCGCTTCAATAGAAAAGGCCACGATAGGTCTGGTGGAGAAGGCCACGATGGATTTGGCGTGAGTTGTCACCGCTCGATGGAGAAGGCCGTCGCGTGCTGGAGAACGCCGGACGGATGGGAGGCACAGCGGAGATGGAGGAAGACGGGCAGCCACAACTGGCTACAGGCATGATGGAGATTGAGGAAGGCAGGCGGTCGCGCTCGGGCACGGTGGAGATGCCGACCGACAGACACTCGGATGTCGTGGAGAACGCCGAGGCGGCGTGGTGGAATGCGGTCACGACACTGCGAAACGGAAGCGTCTTTTGAAGAACGGAGCACATCATTTTTCTATATAAAAACGAAAATAAAATCAATCGTGTCCTCCCTACATAGCGAGCCGCACTGCCGAAACAATTCGGAAAAGTGAGAGAAAGAACACCGGGAAAACCATTTCCTGTGGCCTGCAGGCCTCTGCTGGCTGCTGTCACCTGCCATGCTGTTGCATTGCAGGTTTACAGGGACTAAAGTATAGGATGTGTCATATCGAGTGTTACATTGAGTGTCACATCGGGTGTTCGGATATTAATGATAAAACTAATTACAGAAGCCATGACCAATTCGCGAGACGAATCTATTAAGCCTAATTAATCCATCATTAGCATATGTTACTGTAGCACCACATTGTCAAATCATTGACTAATTAGGCTTAACAGATTCGTTTCATAAATTAGTCTCAATCTATACCATTAGTTTTATAATTAATCTATATTTAATACTCTAAATTATTATCAAACATCACAGTGACCGGATTGGAGGAGAAACCAAACACCTCCCGTAAGCCTCGACGTCATTCCCCCCCTGCCTGCCAATGTGAATAAGGATGAAAACGGAACGGAAATATCCCGAACCGAACCGCATCGTTTTCTATATTTAATCCGATCAAATCCGCATTTTCTTGTCCGACTTTACCGTTTTCGCTTTCGCATTTGATATGTTTCGTATTTCAAATGTAAAAGTAGAAAACGGTTTACACATTTTTCGACCGTTTTTTACTTTTCTACTTTTAATTTGAAATATTCCGAATTCAAAATTCGGTTTAAACCGAATTTGGCCAACTGCACATGTCATACAACCCAATTACAGGCTGCTCACCACGCAGCTACGTTCTTTCTGCTGGTGGCTAGCTGTCCTCTCTTATAGACGGCACCCAGCTTCATCTCTCTTATTATGTATTTGGTCGTGCACTTGTTTAATGCTATGCACTTGAATGAGATCATACACTTGTTAGTTGTGAACTTGTTATGTATTTGGTCGTGCACTTGTTTAATGCTATGCACTGTGGGTCGATATTTCGTATTGAATTTTCGCATACCGACCGTGTTCGACATAATTCCGCTCGAATTGGTTCGTTTTCGAAATTCTAGATATTCCGTAAGTTTGTGTTCGTTTTAAGTTTGTGTTCGTTTTCGTGTCCGGCTTGTCCGCTTTTGTTTTTGCTTTCGTATTTCAAATGTAAAAGTAAAAAACGGTTGATGAGTTTTTCGACCGAGTTCGACCGTTTTCATCCTTATGGGAACGGCACCGGATGCTCCCGGCGACCTTTTTCCGGTCATCGAATCCGTTCATATCCCCGGCGCCCCCACGGGTGAATTAACAAGATATCTTTGGAATCAGCGGGCACTCCTGGGGTCCGTCCTTGGCGGTAACGTGGAAAACGGGAGCCAGCCAGCATCTGTTCCGTTCTTCAGCAAATCAGCAATGGTGTTACACCGAGTCATCACTGGATTAGTTCCCCATGAAATATTCGCTAATCGTTATCAAGTGTGCACCCTCAAAGCTTCAGCTTCTAATCTTGTAGAGCATTCCAACTTCTGGCATACGGTGCCAGTGTCATGCATGATGCATGTGGAGGTGATGAGAACAAACGTACAGTGAGTGAAAACACTTGCTAGCGAGCTTTGGTGTATCCCATAGCTGTCTTGCGTGTTCTCGAAAAAAACTATAAGCGCGTGATGACAGGTTTCTGATGGAATAGTTTCAGTTTTTTGAGGGAAGATGGAATAGTTTCAGTTGTTCCAAGCAAAAGCAAAAGTGCAGAACCCTTGTGAAAAATCCAACACTAGAATCCTCAGCAGGAAACAAAGAAATACAATTACACGCAGAGCAGCAGAGCATTGGTATTTTGCCTCTCAGGCCCTATTTAGATGCGAAAATTTTTAGTTTTTGGCTACTGTAGTACTTTCGTTTGTATTTGGTAAAAATTGTCCAATTATGGACTAAGCTTAAAAGATTCCCTCACAATTCTGCAAAGGACAATTAGTTATTCTTTTACCTACATTTAACGCCTTCCACGACTGGTGCAAGATTTGATGTGACGGAGAATCTTGAAAAATTTTGGATTTTGGCTTGCATCCAAACGGGGCCTCATTCCTCCATAAGGTCCCTTTCTGAGGACAAGTCATTGAGGTGACTGGTGGGTAGGGGTGAAAACAGTACGAATATTTTCCAACCATATTCGACACCGAATTCGTTTAGATGAGTTTAGATCTATCCGTATCCGAGTCCGGATATTCAACATCTTATACCATATTCGTATCCGAATACTCAAATCACATATTTATGATGTCGATATCCAATCGTATCCTATTCGGCATGGTTGACTCTATCCGTATTCGATTCCGAATCCGGACATAAATATAAAAATAAATATAATATGAGTGATATTCGTCCGTATCCGATCCGTTTTCATCCCTACTGGTGAGCAATCTAGAAGGGGATGATGCTTGTGTAAATTTTCAACTTGGAATATATGTTAAACACCTGCGAACGGGGTCTCTTTCGTGGTGCTTGAGTGATTCTTAAGTTTGTACGCGCAACTCTAATTTGAAACGTTAATCTTTTGAAAAGAGTAGGATTGCAGAGGAAGAATACTGCTCTTTTTGACCAAGCATTCTTTTCCTCCTAACTTCCCTTGCGCTGGTTCCTTACCTTTTCTGCATTCCAATGCTTAACAAGCTACAATGTCCCTTGCACTCTGGGGATAGCTAGGAAAGTGGCTATACTCCAGAAATTTTCAACCGGCCCATACACATGCTTACACCAAGTCAGATATATAGGCTAGCTCCATCTATCGTCGATGAACATGTGGTTTTGGATTATTGAACAAGGATTGTGTAGCATGGAACCACGGCAAACTACCCATCTCTGAATCTAGTTACTACATAGCCCTAAATTATGTACTAGTATGATCGAAGAGCTTTTGCAGGCTGAAGGTAACATGCGTTCAACAAGACCTTCCAGTTGTATTGAGATGGAATGGAAGGCATAAAAAATAACAAAAGATGCATCTTCTTCCACAACAATATTGAGGACCCGAACCCGGCCATGCATGCGGCGCCTACATGGTCCCTAGCCATTGCTTTATGTGCATGTTTTCTTTTCTTTTTTTTCTCTACTACGAGAGTGTAGAAGCACTACTGGAAACAGAGACAAACATTTGTAATGACTAGACAAATTCAAATTCAGTACTAGCCAACGGTAGTTACATGATACTCCATTACACTTACACCCTCAACTGGTCCTGCCGGCAGAGAAAAAACAACCGGACAAGCAACCAGGAGACACTCGACACTAGTGAATAATCTTAATACAACAATAACACTACTCCATGGTTGATGGCTAAATGGAAAAGCTTGAGCTTAAACCCTCCTCTCGTCCGACGAAGTCCTTAAACCCTACTCGTAGTCGCTACGGCCGATGTCTAATATTCCATCGGATCCGAAGCGGCTACGGTTAATTAATTAAATCCATTGACAAAAATTACAGCGCGCGTGATTGAGCATGTGTTTGTTGTTGTTGGGTTCATCACGAGAGGATGGAGTCCCAGTCGATCTCCCAGGACGGGTACTTGTTGAGGTGCAGGGCGGCGGACTCGTCCCACGGCGCCTCCGTGAAGTCCAGGCTCGCCATCTCGGGATGCTGCTGCTGCTGCTGCGGGAACGGCGGGAGGGAGGAAGGAGGCGAGCCGGCGGAGTGTACCGACTCGTCGCCCTCCGTCGTGGTCGTGGACGCCGAGGCCTTGGGCGAGTCCGGGGGAGCAGCGGCGGTGGTGCTGGCGGACGCGGGCTCGGCGGTGGTGAGGCTCTGGCAGATGGCGGTCAGCTTGGCGTCTACGGAGGCGTCGAGCGGGCCCGCGAGGTGCGCTCCGCCCCGGCGGAGTGACGGGAAGTTGAGGCGCGCCGCGTCGCCGCGGAGGCGGAAGGCCGCCTTGTCGTAGGCGAGCGCCGCGTCCTCGGCGGAGTCGAAGGTGCCGAGCCACAGCCGCGTCCGGTTCCTGGGCAGGCGGATCTCCGCCACCCACTTGCCCCAGTGCCGCTGCCGAACGCCGCGGAACAGCTTCGCGTTCGCGGCCGCCGACGGCGGCGGCGCCCCGGCGTGCTTCATGGGCTGCGCCCGCGGGCCGAGGAACGCCGCCGCCAGGAGGCCCCTCTGCTGCTGATGATGCTGCGCCAAGAGCTGCGCCTGGATCTGGTGGATTTGCGCCGGGCCCAGGTGGTTCAGCGCCGCCAGCCCCGACGCGGCGTCCGCCGACGACGTCGGGGACGACGCCGCCGGAGAGGCGTACGACGAGGAGGACTGCGGCAGAGGCGGGAGCTGCGAGAAGGAGGTGGCGGTGGGAGCAGGAGGTGGTGGCGGGAGCGCGGTGTAAGAGGATGTGGCGGGGAGGAAGTACGAATCTTGAGGCAGAGCAGAGCAGTAGGGGTAGGAATAGGAATAGGGGTAGGAATAGGAGAAGGTAGAGGTGGTGGCGGAGGTGGAGGAGGTGGGTGAAGCAGCACTCCGGATAAAAGGTTCGAGTGCTTTCATGAGCTCCTGGTCCGAGGACGACGACGAGGAGCTCAGCTGGTTTGTGTACAAATCTATGGTTGCCATTGTGAAAATGGAAAAAAGACTTGCGAGACTAAAAATGGGTGGATGGAAAAGGTTGAATCTTTTTTTTTTTTTGTTTGTTTGCAAAAACTGAACTGAATGAAGATGAAACTAACCGAAAACGAAGAAGAAATTGGGGAAAAAAATAAGGCCTGTTTCTTCAATAAAAGCGAAGAACAGGAGGATGGTTGGTCAATGGTTTGGTTGGGGTAGCCTGAAAGGGGGCTTAAAAACGACCCTTTCTATAGCTTAGCTAAAAGGAAGAACCAAAACAAATGAAGCTAAAAGAAACCAGAAAGTTCCCACAAGAACAGACAGACTAATCCAGGAGAGAAAAAAGGTTCTCCGGATCTCTGTTCTCCCTACTTGCAAGGAAAGAGGAAGACGAACCGTTGGAAATAAAAGCTCCGATCTTTCCCGGTCACACTTCCTTGCTCGATCAAACAGCAGCAGCAAGAAAGGCTCCCAAAAAAGGGCCTCCTTTTTTCCGAGCTTGCTTCTACGAGAAGGGTTCAGAGAACAAACCTGTTGCCACCGTGCGCGCGGTGGCTCGTCGTCGTCGTCGTTGCCGTGGTGGTGGTGGTGGATCGCTCAGCCTCACCGGGAAGTGGAGTGGGTTCTGGGTCGGGTTGCTGGAGGGGATGGCCGGAGGGGGGAGGGATGGGAAGGCTTGTGCGTGTGGGAGTGGTGGGGGCGGATGAGTCTCTCTTGGGGATTGCTGGCCACCGGCGCTGGTGTTTATATAGCCGGCCAGCCGGGGCTGCAACTGCAAGTGGCGGGCGGGCATGGTGAAGCCTGGACGAAACTTCGCGCGGTACGGTGAATCAATGCTGTTGTCCCTGGCGCGTGGGCCTGGATGGTTCGTCTGTGCTAGCTGGACTGGCGAAGCATGACTTCCGAGCAGTGAAATTACGGCGGCGGTGTGATGCTGCGGTCGGGAGTTGGTTCATTCCCAGATAGGGTGAGTAAATTTGCAGCAGCAACGAATTTTCGATGGAAGTATCTTTAAAAAGCATATATTTTAATGGAGGTGTCTTTAAAAAAGCATATATTTTAAGGGAGCACAGTTGGTTCATACTCCAGATATATTAAGTAAATTTACAAAGAGAACACTAACAAAGAAACTTCGGTGGAGTACAGTTGGTTCATACCCGGATATGGTGAGTAAATTTGCAGAGAGAACACTGACAAAGAAACGACGATGGAGTACAGTTGGTTCATACCCCGGATATGGTGAGTAAGTTTGCAGAGTACAGTTGGTTCATACCCTGGATATGGTGAGTAAATCTGCAGAGAGAACATTAGCAAAGAAACTTTGGTAGAGTACAGATGGTTCTTACCCGGATATGGTGAGTAAATTTGCAGAGAGAACACTAGCAAAGAAACTTCGTTCGGTGGAGTACAGTTGGTTCATACCCTCGATATGGTGTGTAAATTTGCAGAGAGCTTTAGCAAAGAAACTTCGGTGGAGTATAGTTGGTTTATACACCGGATATGGTGAGTAAATTTGCAAATTTGCAGAGAGAACACTAGCAAAGAAACTTCGGTGGTGGAGTACAGCTGGTTCATGCCCCATATATGGTGAGTAAATTTGCAGAGAGAACACTAGTACAGAAACTTCACTGGAGTATAGTTGAGTAAATTTGCAGAGAGAACACTAGTAGAGAAACTTTGGTGGTGAGTAAATTTACAGTGAGAACACTAGCAAAGAAACTTTGGTGGAAATATCTTTAAAAAACATATATTTTAATGGAACTATACGTACCAATTGATATGATGATCGTTCACATACCAATAAGAGCTAGATCGTTTGGGTCGCTACGGATTGAAGACCGCATTAGATAACCAACACGCTTTTCGCGGTGAAGAGTGGCAAGGTTTACGAGCAAACCAACAAAAGATACCTGTCACGCTGACGTCAAAGCTCTCATTGAGGGACCCCATCATGGCGAGGATATTGACAGGTTATCCTAGGTTGGCCCGCAAGCTTAGGGAACCGTCCTTGATCTTGGGATCAAGAGACGAACAACAACATATGGATGAAAAAATAAGGATTAAATTTTGACAATTGGATGTTGGATGACCGTTTACACCATATTTTACACAGAGTAGAGGTGGTCTTACCCTGTTGCAGAACCAATGTGGTACTATTTTAATACCATCGTTTCATAGAGTTTTTCTAAGATTGCACCAAATCTAGCATGGGTCGATTCTAAACTGGCTTAGGCCCAAAGTGTCAACAATACCCTTGTATTTGAGGTTTTTAAGGGTGTTTTCTGCAACAAAGGTGAGATTGTGCCAAATCGGCATGCATAGCGAAGGACCAAAATTATGCCCCGGGGCCAGGAGGCTGGCTGCAGCGTAGAGGAAAGGAAACTATATACAACGAGGAGAAAGAAAACACATACAGAAAACCCAAGTTGATTTTTTCTTCCCCAATAGCAACATGTTTGAAATAGTTGCCCGATTTGAATGTGCGTGAAAACCGTGCACCGAAGAGATTGTAATAACGAAGAAAAAGTCAGAGCCTCTGACAGTCCCGGAGGCCGGAGCTGCGCCACGTGGACAGTGAGCAGGCACCACACGCAGCGGCAGTGTGCAGCCGGACTTCAACCTGACGACAACCTGTGTGGTGGTGGTGAACTGGGTGACCATCATCTCGTCTGCAGCAGCAGCGCCGTGCAACCTGTACGCGGCGCGGCACGGGACAGGACGGACGCACGACTCGGCCGTTTTTTTCTCTCGCCGTCGCCGTCGACGGAGGCTGCGAAAATCACGTGGCGGGTGCAGGTAAAAGCTCGCTAGCTCAGTCTGTCTCTGCTCTCTCTGGTACTGGAGGTCTGGAGTAGTACTGGACTACTACTAGTAAAACACGCACACACACAAAAGGTAAAAGGCCCCTCCACGTATTCGAAGCAGGACGCAGGAGGAGGAATTGCCATCGCAGCGCACGCATCGATCGGGCCCTTTTTAGCCCACCGGAAGAGGGCGAAGAAATCACCGTCCCAGAACCCAGATGAGGTAGCCGGCGTGTCCAGCTCTACGGAAAGCGACGTCGAGAGAAGCGGCCGCCGAGGGGCGGGCTCACGCGGAAACGCACGGGAGTCGCCACGCCGCGCGTGCGTTCGCGCGCGCACAGCCTGACTGCCTGACCCGATCAACGGATGGAGGCGGAGGCGGACGTCGTCGACGCCGTGACGGCGACAGTAGTACATACAGGGCGCTCGGAGCCGCCGCCGGCCAGGGTTTTGACCGAAACCTGCGGCGCAGATGCGTGCCACTTCACGGGTGGGGTGGAGCACTGGAGCGAGCAGTGTGAGGTGTTCGCTTGCCTTTTCGCTTACATGTGGGCCTCACAGTAGGCGGGCCACCGTGACGTTGTTACGCCAGGATCTCGCCGGCCCTGGAACGGAACGGGAGCGCGGACGGGGAGGGAGAGCGTCACGTCGCGGCCACGGCGTGGGCGGGGTGAGGGTGGGCAGGGCGCGATCGAGCCCACTCACGCTGGCGACACGGCGTTAAGGTAGGGGGTAGTGGGTAGCTAGGGCGCGCGCCGAGATGGGAAATGCCGAAACGGGATGGCGACGCGACGCGGCGTGCGTGGACTTCGTGGCGCGCAGAGGTGAGGTGAGGTGAGGATCCAGCACAAGCTACTCCATCAAATCGGCAACAGCCCAGGTAGTAGCAAGGCAAGGTCGAAGCCGAGAGGTCGCGCTGCGTTTCCCATCCATGCGAGCACGGCCGGCCGGCCATTACTCCTCTGAGGAACACTTGTTGTGACGACGACGGCTGGGTACGTGTACATGTGCCGGTCCAAGCTACTCTTTCCCGCTTGTGCTGCTAGAACGCGACGGGTGCCTCCTGAGCCGCGCTGACGTCGCGTTCGTTTCGTGCCACTAGTTGAACTATATGCGGATGAAACGCTAGATCGATCAATCAAGGTGCCCGTCACGGTGGAATTGGCATGCTGGCATGGCAATTTATCTGGATTCTGCACAATTTGCACACAGCGTTCACTGCACTGTACATGCATGCAAACGTACGGCATCCCCCCGTCAACCACGCATGCACGGCCAATTGCTCCACGGCCGACCCAGCATATTCGTGCTCCTCGCAGGTCGCACGCAGCCACTGGGCAAGGCAGCAGCAGCGGCGGGTGGTAATCTGGCATCCGATGCCCCGTGCCCCGCCCCGTTGGCGCGCACACGACGACTGGGCAGTAGCGGGTCTCTGCCACTCTGCCCTCTGCCGCGGCGCCGCCTGCGCTGCACTGCACTGCTGCCGCCCGTGGTGGGAAGTGGGAGTGGAACTGGAACCGGGTGGGGTTGTGGGGGTACGGTCTACACCACGACACCTCCAGAGTCCAGACCTATCCAATGTGGTGTCGGCTAGGCTAGCTTGTCTCACGCAGCTCGAGCTCCGGTCCAGAAGAAGAGGTTGTGTGGGGGGTCGGTTCTTCCGATCAAAAACGTACACTGTCAGGACCCTATTTCTGGACAAAGGACACATCATTTGTGCGTGGACCTTTTGGTACTACTACTACTTGTGATTGGATCTGTGTTGTTACTAGTCAGTAATTAATAAGCTCCATGGTGTTCTTATTTTTTTTCTTTCTTCTTCATAAAAAAGTTAAAACGGGTCCAAGCTAAGTTCAGGTCGATCGGCAGATGTAGTAGTTTTACATATTCACCGCAAAGACGTTGATGATGTGTGGTTCCAACCACGGTTAGGTTGCTTGTTTCAACTCCTGAAACGGTTGTTAGGCTGTTCATGATAGGCCTAATGATGGTCAATCAAGACCTGCACCCTGGCCTATCTTACACGTCACAGTTACATTACATGTGGCCAAAAGGCCAGAGCACAAACGGTGGCGTACCGTTCCCTTTCTGCGGGGGAAGCTAGCTGAATCATACATAGCATGATAGAACCTCTAGCTAATCCAAAGCCAGCCATCAAGCAACAACATGCAAATCAAGTCGTACCTAAGTTGGACGACCTATATA